TGTTTTTTTTTTTGTGAAAAAAAACACTTTTTTTGAGGGGCCTCGAAAAAAAAGGAAAAAAAAAAAAAAAAAAAAAAAAAAAAAAAAAAAAAATTGTACTGGATTATACATAACTATATTATGAGGGCTACAGGTACATTGTCTTCAGGTTTATACACATGCGTGCTTTGGAATGGCATTGGGCAGGTGGTCCAGCAGCTCAACAGGAGTTGAAATCTGATGTTTGGTGAATGACAAAGGTTGGTGAGGGAGTAAGTCTTGGTGAGGCACAGTTAAAAAAAAAAAAAAAGAGATGAAAACAGACATCCTTAAGAGGTTTGATTTAATCCCCCAGTCACACAGACTAAGCAAACTGAAGCAGAAATACAAGCAGAGCATGTGTGTGTGCGTGTGTGTGTGCTCATTGTGAGTGTGTGTAAGCATGTGGCAGCTTACTCCAGGGCAGTGGCAGGAAGAACAGTAAAACAGTGAAAGAGGAGGCATAGTGGAAAAAAAAAGACAAGGTCATACTCACAACTATCTTTCACACATTTGGGTTAAAGGTCAAAACTCAAGCGGTTACAACAAAAAGCAGGCATGCTCACTCATTAGTCTTTAGCGCAAGTCTTGATACCATCATTTAGTGTATTCTGTCAAATGCATCAACAGTTAAGTGAACATTTTTGTTGTTTTTATTTAACTTTTTTTTTAGCTATAAAATAAGGACAATCAATACAAACAGATCCACAAAATCCAGAGTATGACCGAGAGCAAGAGAATGCAGACAATGAGCCTGCAGAACCACGCAGTCAAATGAATGCATCACAGTGGTGTTATTACTGCATTTACTCCCTCTCCATCCAAACCACCTACATACAATATGGAGCGCTGTTTAACTGCATGTCCATGCATGTCAACTACCTATTAAAAGATTACAATGCTACCACAATGTGATTAAAGTAAACAAAACCTCAACATAATTAAGGAGTTAGCTAACAGGAGCATCAAGATCCCCACTGAATGCATTTGGATTATGTGTTCCCCAAGACAACAATGGCAAAAACAAACCCAAATAATTATATCCAAAACATGCAGTACAATTATATTCTCAAGGAGGCCGCTAAAAGTTAGCACTCAGTGCTAACAGAAGCAGAAGGCTCAATGCTGCTATCAAACCAGTGGTCAGGACGTCTTTATGAACACACAAAATTCATGTCTGACATAAGCTTTGCTGTCATTTTTGCATTAATTGGAGCTTCCTGCTTTGCTGTACACCCCATTTTAATGGAGAGCAGGAACTGACGCCTCAATCAGACAAGTCTTTTGGAAAGTCCCTCTTGATACAGGCAGAGTAAACAGACATTCCCCCCTACAGTTTAACCACACTGCAAAGATGCTCTGATGCCGGGGGACCATGTAAGGAATCCTGTGGGTTAATACACAGTGGAACCCAACATTTTGACTTGTTTACTTGCAACTTTAGCATAACTGAACTTGGACTACAAAATCTCTGAAAGGAGAAAAATGGCAAATTCACAAAACTGATTAACTGGAAGTCATGACCTTTTTCAGCAATTACACAGAAAACGCTGTGATGTCATAGCTAAGAAAATATTATAGGAAATGGAGAAAAATGAACAGACTGAAAAATATACCCCCCAAAGAATATAAATATATCTATGCAGCACCGGTATAGAATAAATCTATTCTGACGGACTCATTAAATAAATATTTGGGACTTATATATTGAATAAATATCCAAACAATTTTACAAAGAGCTAATGCTTGACACATCAGGTAGGAGTTGCAATAGATTTAACTTTGGTTAGCTCAAAACACAGCTAAATTTAGTGAAAGTTAATGAAATGCGTGCCGTCTCCCATGATTTGTAAGGGCAAATTAAGTAAAGTCTGCATCAGCTGTCAAAACAATCTTTTGACCAAAACTAAGATCATTTCAAACAGAGAATAAAGTTGTCATTTTTGCTGTATCGCTTTAGTCCTACAACTAAAACAAGAGGCAAAAGTGAGAAAGACGCTACAGAGGATAGTACATGCAGGGTTGTGTAACGTAATGATCGTATGTCACAAACCTAATGTCAGACACTGTGAAGCTAATTCCTCATGTAAGAAACATGTAAAGAGGTGTGATGGAATAAGACACCACTGACGCTAATTATGCCTTATTAAAGTGTGCATAAAGGTACTGATGGAGGGGTGAGAAAGAAGAAGTGTGCACTGACAGCTCACACATTGCCTGTTAGTCCCACAGCAACCCTAACTCCTGTCAAAAATCACAGTGACACTTTTCACACACATGCAAGCATACACTATCACTGTATACATTTTCTGAAATTCATTACTCTAGAGCCATGAAGCAAAGTTAGGTAAATATAATTCACTCTTCTTGTGAAAAAGGCTGGATGTGGAAATAATGTTTTAAACATTTACTTAAAAGAACTATTTTAACAAACTTCAAATCGAATGGGATGTAACACAGGATGTCTTTGAAGGGGGGTAACCTTGCTTTCACTGTTCATCACATTTATTTTGACAAAGAAACTAGATTTAAGAGTCATTTCCTTTGTTTGACCACAAGGTAAACTGGCTGAGCGAGGTGCTTTAAGCCATGTGTGTGTGCTTGTGCGCGTGTGTGTCCATGGTTAGAGTGTAGCTGATAAGAGTGTTACAGTGTATTTGCAGAGTGTGTGTTTTGAAGATAAAAATCCCAGTGGTCAACAAGAGTGTTGGGCCAGAGATTCACTGACCAGCCCTTCATCTGAAGGAGAAAAAAGGGAGGGGAAGAGGGAGAGAGGGAGGTAGCCATGTGGTTAACACTTGCTCACTGAGAGGCGACTGGAGCACAGCCAACCTCTTCACACACAGGCTGACCACACAAGAGCCTCTCTTTCTCCCTTTGCTTTCCATCCTCCCTTCATCCCTAGTCACCTAACAAATCCTTGCCTTGCTACTTCAGCAAGCTCAGTCACCATCCGCACGTTTTTACCACTTTTCTGTTATCAAAATTTGTCCAATTTCCTCTTCCCCATTTTCTTATGTACTTCTCCTCTACTTCCGTCTACGACCCTGGAACAGTCTGTCTGTCTAGATCCCCCATTGTGCATGATTTTGACAAACATCTACCACTCTCTCCTCTCCTTCCAGTCCAAAATTTCCTTCCTCCCATCTCTGTCAGCATGAATGTGCTTTAATCGCTCCTACTCACCCGTATTGGGATGCGTTCGGTCTCAGTCTCCTTCTGTGGGTTGCGGTATTTCTCATAAAATTCCCTCTTCTTTTTGCTCTCCTGTTCATCTTTGCGCTCCCTCTTCTCGGCAGGTTCATCCGAGGGTTCGGCAGGAGAGTTAATGGGGGAGTCCTTTGCTGACTTCTCCACCTCCAAGTAGTTCTCATTGGGGTTGAGCACCATCACACCATAGTCCTCCTGAAACATACCCAGCACAAAGTTGTGTATAAGAGCAGAAATCCGTTACTTTAACTGATTAACACTTTCACTATCGAGTTTACTTGAAATGCACCGAAAAACGTCTAATGGTTCCACGATTTTGAAATCAACGCAAAATCCGGTCGTTCTGACCAGTGAACAAACCACAACTATGCAGCAACCAGGTTGCATTAGCAAAAACACTCTTAATTGTGGCCACTGTTACTGAAAGAAACAAAGTTGGAGAGAGCAAACTCATGTAAAATTATATTTAAAAGGGACCAATATTCTAGACATGTGAACACATATTGTTTTACGTGAGCTGTCAGAAAGAAAGGGGAAGTGATACTTTCAGCAAGTAACAGGAAGGCTCATATAGTACAGTTATTACTTAGCATTTGAAACCTCTGTCTATCATGAACCATGCTGGATTTCAAAGTGTTGTTAGCCTCCAGGAAATCTACAAATTAGGGTTAGGATTGTATGGAGAATGCTTCTTTAGCAATACCAGCTGAGTAATTTGCTAGTACAAGACACCAGAGGCAATTTAAAATATATAGTCAGATTAATTTTGTCTATTTTCTTATAAGAATAAAACTCTTTTACACTGAATCCTCTTTACACACATTAAAATTAGTATCAGCAAGTCAGAGTTTTATAGTACTGGACATTGAACACCTCGACATACATTTGTTTTGCTAACCTTTTTACCATCAAAATGTTTCATGAGGCAAAATTATATTAAAAAAAAAGGTACTGAAAATGTGTATATATTATCTGTATATTGTGTTTAACTTTTCACACTTTTAATAGATATGCGAGTCAGATCAGAAACTATTAAGCACCAACTGAAAGCTTGATATTTGGCTACAGTTGTTTTGCCCTCCTTTGTCAAATGCCTTTAAAACCAAAGATGAACAAACTTTGGTCATAATTTTCAGTTTTAAAAAAAAATCATTAAAAAATTTAGAAAAAAAAAACATAATAGCTGCATGCTCTTTAGAGCTCATCCACAGCATATCGGCTTATCTCTGATTCACGGTCTTTGTGTTTAATAAAGAGCTCAGCATTGGCCATTTGTGAGCAAATATCATTACAACACTTTAAAGGCATGGCTTCTTGGATAACTGTGGGGAAAGATGTGAATCAAGGCTGAAAGAAAGGGCAGTGAATGAGATAAAGGAGAGTGTGTCACTGCAGGGACAAGCTTGAGAAGTAACAGGGGGATTGGAATTCAGCAGTGGTAGTTTCAGTCAGTGAGTAGCATTTAGTGACTTCCAAAGGCCATGTGTCACTTAATATCAAACCCAATCAATACTACCATCACACAGTGAGGGTTTGCAAAGAACATATCTTTCTGTAGCTGCTTGTGTTTCTTTGTGCATAGCTTAAAATTGTGTTATTCGGCATTTCTGATCATTTAACAACAACCCTTTAAAATAAAAAAAAGAAAAGAGTGTTGGATGATAATATCCACACAGAGAGAAATTAGGGAAAAAATATGAAAGCATTTTTCAGGAAATGAAGAGAAAAGTGTATGGAGGGACAAAAAAAGGTCATTCTACTGAAGTCAAGTGACTTTTTCAACTTTGAACCTGTTTTAATTAACTCTGTTTATTATCCCAAGTCCTTTGTTAAAAGGAGGAAATAGATGGATTCCTGTTTCACTTTGACTGTCCTTTCTACACACAAGCCCTAGTGTAAATACACATATCCATACAAACACACCAGAAAATTCAATAATGATGGCTGTCTGCCAAAATCATTTCAACACAGGCATTTCAAATTAAACATACACTAGGATTAAGTAAGGAACAAGCAACAACCAGAAGACCTTTAGGATATACATTTCAGTTTCCTTTGCAAATCTCTAACGGACACAGTGTCGTTCTCATGGCAGCACGTCTCCTCTTCCTTAATAAGTGTTAACACAATGTGCTTGTCTTCCGTTGACGCAGCATGTGTGTGTGTGTCCCTCCTGTGCCGACTGACATCAAACCTGCCACACACCCTGTCCCTTAGCACCTGCCGTGTGTTGACAATGGCAAAATGGCTCAAACGGCAAAATGACATGTTCTCACTTATTAATATTGAAGAAATTTCTCCTGTTCTCACTTCCTGTCAGTCCGAACATTCCTTTCTCGATAGATGTTTGTAACGTTAAAGGTTAACATCTATTAAATTACCTTTAAAATATAACGGTTTTCATTGAAAACAAAACCATGTTTACACTTACAAATTATGAAATATTGCAATTTCGAAAAAGAAATTTGTATTTTTAGTAAACTTTTTGATTTTATACTACATAATTTGACCCTTTTGCAACAGTTTTAAAGTATGAAGATATTTGAACAGAGTATGGTATCTATTCATCCAAACGCTTTTAGATTAATCTTAAAACTTAGATGTATAATAATTATAGTGCTTGCATAGCAGCAGTGAACTGGATGTATTAGACCGACAAGTTAAATTCAACATCACAGAGATATATTCACACTACTACTGAAGTTTGAAGACATGAGCCCACATTCCAGCACAGTTAGATGAAAAAGTACTGGAAGATGATGGGAAGAGTGAAGAACTGGAAAATGTGGACAGAAATTAAGTTATAGATAAATTAATATAAAAAAGATAATGAGAAAGAAGAGATACAGCCTGTACACAATAGCTTTGTGCCACTGCCCACTGGTGGTGGTCTGATAAAATAACTGACAAAACCAGCTAAGCCAGTTTAAAGCTTTTAATCTGTAAACACTGAAGTAGCGCTTTCTAAGAGATACCAACACAATTGTTTGTATGTACTGCATCATTGAGAAAACAAATAATAATAATAAAAAAAATGACCATCTTGTGAAATGATGGCAAAAAACATAATTCATATACAAAATAAACAAGTCAACATACAAATCACCCAATCTTTGTTAGATATGTTTTATGGGGCGAGTCGTATGTCATCGGTTCTCAGTAAGCAGTTTTCCTTTACCTTCATTCTGGTTTGCAAAGGGCAGAAGTTAATGGTTTAGATCAACGATCCTCGTGTTCTGACATGAACCCTGTGTCCCTTAAACATGTTTAGTCTTACTCTGACCCTTAACTTTCTCTATCCTTAAGCACACTAAAGCCAACATCAGGACCTCGGCTTCCAGCCATTAGCTAGTCTTTAGGTTATGGCCTATAGCCCTTCCTTTAGAGACACAAATACACATAATAAACCTAACAGTGCTAACCCTTTCAGCTGGCCAGTCACCCATGAGAAGATTGCTGTAAAGAAGACCAGCAGCATTAGAGTGCTTTATTTGGAGGAGCAGGGCTGTCAGGTCCATCTATGTGTCGGAAGCCATCATTCATTTGAACACTGGGAGGACTGCGCTGGAATCAGGAAATCCCAGATGTCTGTGTCCGCTCACTTTCTACTTCTATTCTTTGAATCAATCACTCTGGAACTTGCCTGTTTTTGTCTGTGCAAACTTATAACAGATTAGTGAAATTTTACTTAGCATAAAAATAAGATAGTTTTGGTATTAATATTGTTAATATTTTGTGATTTTCCAACATGACATAAAAAGCTAAAATGTTTTTTTTGTTTGTTTTTTTTTTCCAAAATCTTCCCACAAAGCCTTTGTCCAATATTTTTAATCTGCACATTTGCTTCTTCCAACAAATAGGTCTGTCATACAACCATCCTTAGTTTGGTCTCTGTCTTGTGGCTCTGTCTCACTGTTACCCCCCACCCCACCACCTTCCACACACACAAACAAAAATCTGATCTTTTGTTTTGTGATGTGCTGTCAAAGTGTGAATCCCACACAGATGCCCATAGCCATCTTTGGGTCAACATGCTTTTTTTTTTTTTTTTTTTTGACATGTCAAAATCTCTCTCACACATTGCTAGCTTTGCTAACACCTCTTTTGTCCCTTATACACACTGTCTTCGATAAAATAGACACGCACAATCCTCTAGCTGTAGGTCAATCTTGTCTTTCTGCTGTAGTGTGCAGGCTAAGTCCCTTCCCATGCCCTATGGGTGCCCCTGTGCCACTACCATACTGAGTCTCTGCCCTGGGGCCAGCGGTCAAGAGGGTCACCCCGGCCCCCTCTGAGGGGGGAACAACCCGACCCTCGCCACCGTGCTCTGGACGCTCCTTAGCTCTCTTTTGTCGGCCTGTCCCCACACTTAGATGGCACAACAAAGACTGCTGCTGCTACGGGAACCGGGGCTTGTCTCGTCAAATTATGAAACCCGTCGCTGGTCATCTCCTTTTATAAAAAATTTTTTAAAGAAAAAAAATATGAAATTGGAGTTAATCTAATAAAAGTGCCACATTTCATTTGATTTTTTTTTTTTTTCAAATTAAATGGTAGACATAAAACGTTAGTCTTAAATATCCTGGCTATGACTGCAATATCAGCTACAATCTACAACAGCCATGCTGTCTCTACTAGTATTTTATTTTGTTAAGATGTGTGTTTGTGCACCTCTGGGTATCCACATCTCGGTAAGCACACACAAGTACAAGTGAAGGTAAATAAGATGTCCCTTTAAGACAGCAGCACCTCTATTTTTCCAGTCGTGTTGTAATGAAGTGAAATGTGTCTAATGTGCCGGAGCGGGGGACAGAGCCGGCTACACTGAGAGGGTGTTTCATCTGTGTGCGTGGAGCTCCAGGACGCTTTGATGTGAGAGCTCTCATGTACTGAAGCAGGGATCCGGGCACAAGGAAAAGGACATCACTTGACAGGTACAAAGCATGGCTGATAGCGGTCACGGGTGCATGGAGTGAGGAAAGTGGATGGTATGGTTAGGTGAATTGGAGGTTGTGTGTGTTATGTCACTGTTGCCTGCTGAATAAAAGAAGAACATAAATGTTCTTTTATTCACCTTTTGTACTTCTATCAAAAAACACTTATACATGTGTGTTCATGCATTTATATTTTAAGAGTAGTTGCTCAATAAATTAGGATTAGAAACTAGCTCTCAGGCTCTCATGTCGTCTCGTCAG